CAACTTTGAGTGGATCAAATCATTTCCCATAAGGCGATCATGAACAGAAGAGCGGGCATATTTACAGTTCGCATTAGACAATATAACTAGCATGCTCTCGGTAAGGCCCCTGTGATAAAACACGAGGACCAGTGTATGTACGAAAATTGTTCGTCTCCGTCTTGAAGGCAAATTATTCTTTAAAAAATCTTAAAACAATTGTGATATTTGCAATATATATTTTTTTTCTAATATATTTTATTAGGGATGAAAAAAAAAACTCCACCAGAATGCGATAAGTTACAGAAGGCCTATTTCATCTTAATAATTTTGCACTAGATGAAGCTGTGATCATATAAGGACATAAAGGTCACGTGGTCGACATTCTGAGAGGAAAAAAAAAAGACGAGACTCCCGATAAAAACGTGAATATAAAAATGTATGAGCGTGTATTCAATGTCCAAAATAAATGTCACCCCTGACGTCAACCCTGTCTATTGACACGCTCATTCTTTTATTCATCATCCTTCTCATTATCGTTTTATGTGTTGATATTTTAGAAACAGTTCTTAACTTGTCCAGAATACGCAGAAGCAGTGCATTTCCTTTAACGTATAATCGAAGCTTGATGCTTTGAATTTTTGAGATAGATTTTTATTTTAATGTCGTAGCCGAATGTGTGCCCAGATTCCAATGTAAAACAAGTTAATAAAAAGTCTAGTGACAATTTAAGCGCAATTTCCTTATGTTATCCATAACAATTTTTAATTTTTTGTGACCGAACGAAAGGATATTTTTTTGCGCTAAAAACAAAGACAACTATATTAACCTATATCACCGGAAATAGTTTTATTTTAACGAGTAGGCCTACACGATGCTCAGTTTAAAAAAGTAGTAAATATTTTTTTGTGACCGAACGAAAGGATATTTTTGAAAACTTTCTTCGGCAATATTGTTCTAAATTATGGCAGGAATCGATTGGTAAATGTTTCAAGTCGCTAAGTGGTCTGGTTGCCGAGATATGGACCAAAAACTGCATTTGTTCGAGATTTTTTGGCTTTTCCGGGAAATCCAGGAAGGAATTCCGGGAATTTTTTTGGCTCACAATCATCCTTGGAACTTGCTTAACATATTTGCTTTTGGAACTAGTCCTCGATATTGCTTCGTTGAGGAGGAGATACCACTTAAAGCTGCGGACACACATCCATCCATTCATACATCCAGAAATGACGAGTTAATAATCGCAATTGTCCGTATGGAAATTGCGCTAAAAACAGTACTACTGTGTAAGGACGATAAAGACAACTAGTGATCTGGTTCAGACCTTTATATACAGTTGCCTCAGGCAGGGTTTCTTTCGGGGATGTATACCCCCCCCCCCCCCCAGTGAAATAGAATAGCTATAAAAATATATACTTTTACCAGTGTCCGACCCCCATCCATCCCCCCCCCCCCCGGAGAAATAAGTCTGAAAGAAACATTGGCCTCAGGATCAGCTGGCACAACACTATCAACAACGCACACCTGTGGGGAGTGACAGGACAACTTGCTGCTGATGAAGAAATTAGGAAGAGAAGATAGGCTTGGATAAGGCACCCTACGCAAATCACAAAGTATCACTAGACAGGCACTAAAGTGGAGAATAGCACAAGACAGAGGACTCTGGAGATCTTTGATTGGCGGCTCATACCCCAGCAGGACAGAGGACTCTGGAGATCTTTGGCAGGAGAGTGATGATGATGATGATGATGATGATGATGATGATGATGATGATGATGATGATGATGATGATGATGATGATGATGATGATGATGATGATGATGATGTTGAAAGATGGCTTTACTTACGGGTATAAATCACAAAATGCCTTGAAAGAGTAATGGGGTACATTTATTTATGGCCCTTTACAAAAGTGAAAGGTTATCAAAATGTGCCTGAAATTCAAGCAGACGCCGATTTAATAAATTCTAAAATTACAAGAAATGTACTTTTCTAATACTTTTTTTTCGATTTTTTTTTGTGTATTAATTAAAACACAACGTGGCGGTAAAAATAGGATTTCATCTCAGATTATTTGGGTATAGAATTACAGATGGGCGTGAAACTTTGGATGTCACTCCCACCAATATCTTGTGATTATTCTAAAATGTCAGAAACGTCTTCAAGATGCGCCTAGATGGTCAAGGTGGACAGAGAAGAGAAGGATGGACACGGGCCAACTGGTCAGTCAAGCAAAGACATGGACGGTCGGCCGAACAGAGACATGGACGGTCAGTCAAGCACAGACATGGACGGTCGGCCGAACAGAGACATGGACGGTCAGTCAAGCACAGACATGGACGGTCGGCCGAACAGAGACATGGACGGTCAGTCAAGCAAAGATATGGACGGTCGGCCGAACAGAGACATGGACGGTCAGTCAAGCAGGGACATGGAAGGTCAACAAAAATCCGGATAATTCTCTCTACAGAACAAACAGTTCGGACAAAGGTCTAAAAACAACACAACTCTCACAATCAACACAACGCCTCAGGCCTTGTACTAAACTCAATACCCAAATTGTCTTAGATATCAAACAAATAGATCTTTGTTTTCCCTGTCTGGTTACATCATGGATAAGTTCAGTCCCACCTACCCAGGTAATGACACACAGACAGATCTACCTACGTCAGGTACCCTAAAAAGTGTGTGTTCACAGGTAACAGCCACCCCACCCCGACACCAAACCACCCGGCTACAAGGCTAAACACAACAAGGCACAAGCCAATTATTTAAACCGATCTGCTATTCTGAATCATTTTAAAAAACCACAAACTGTCGTGTTTCAAATAAAGAATTACCCCCCTAAAAACTGGCCAGATTTTTTGACATTCCAGATTTCACTGCCAAAAAAAAATTAACAAAAGACACGTCACGCAAAAAATAATTTAAAAAAGAAAAAACACAAATAATTATTATCTTTCCATCGGGGATGCTGATAGTAGGCTTGAACGAAAACATTTTGCCAGATCCTAGGGTGAAATTCAATACGAGTCAGGTAGACCAACACAGTTTTTTTTTTACCTCCCTTTCCCCCAACGGCGCATCTAGGCAGGGGTTTAAAAAAAAAGACAACGAAAATTAAACTGATTTACATTTCCGCCAGCAGAGGACTGGAAATGGAAAGTTTAACAGATGTAGATAATTGGATTGTGTCCCTTCTTGTTTTTGTAACCTTTCAATTATGTACCCAGCCATTGCTTCAAATATTCAGCAGACTACAGGGGCAGATTACTCTAGTTGACTGGCATTAGAGAACAAAGGAACGGGAAGAGCTGATTGGACTATTTCAATCCGAGGCTGTCCAATTAAATCCAGTGCAAATAGCCTTGGATATTTTCTGCATCCACACTCCCGAGCAGCCACTCAACTGGATAACAAGCATCGTGTGATTACCATAAAATTTGATTTGCCAGAATCTATCTCACACATGATGAGCGAGCTGGGACTAGGAATGTTAAATAAAGCTGAAAATAAAGCGGTCAATACATTGGAGGTAGGGTTTGTTAAGCTGATGTCAGGTAGCAGGGCTGTTGTTGATCTTGTGGGCATTAAATAATTTAACTAACTGTGAACAGAGTTTCTTTCAGGTATGTCTTGGGGTGGGGGTGCCGCCCCCCCCCCCTTCAGACGCACATCCACCGCTCCGAACCCCGAAAAGAAATAGAATTTATATACAACTTTTACCAATGCCCACACAACCAGGAAAGTCCCCCATCCTTGAAAGTTTCAAATGGCCCCCCACCCCAAACCAAATGTCTATAAGAAAGACTGAAAGTGAAATAACCATAGTTTATTAAACTGATGTAGGCTAAAATAAAATTTAGCTAAGATTTAGTTATTCTCATGAACATTACATCTTTTAACCAGGAGAGAATGACGTTCAGTATCAGGATTTGTTAAACTGATATAGGCTAAAATAAAACTTGGATAACATTTAGTTTTCTCATGAACATTACATCTTTTAACCAGCTGAGAATGACGTTTAGTATCAGGGTTTGTTAAAATGACGTAGGATAATTGATATCCTTATTTATGGAAAGTTGAGAATGCTGTAGCTGTCATTTGTTGAAAGATGCTGGCAAACCACGTAGATGAGAGTATAAACATTTTAGGTCTAGAACAATCATTGCCCTTTTCTTGCGGAAAATTAGTTTTTATTCCACAAACTGTTCAGGATCAAATTAGATCCAGGCTTATATTTCAGGTTCTATTTTAGACATTCAAGAGAACCAATATTTTTTTTTAAGTTTTTTTTTTTAGAATGTCATAGCTTTGGGTTATATTTAGCATAATGTTGTCAGAGACAAAAAAATGTAATGAGATGCCAGTTTGTGGTTAAAAAATGTAACCCTTGTGTAGGTGAGTGACCTTCTGATACCTTCAGAGAGAAACTTGGCACAGCAGGAGTTAATCAAAAGTGTCAAGTTTTTTGGGGGGGGGGGGGGGGGGGGGCACCTACCAACGGCTGAGGTGTCAAGTTTGTTTTTTTTTTGGGGGGGGGGGGGGGGGGGGGGGTGAAAACTTTAACTTTGTTGTAGGTCAAATCCATAGTGTGTGTATGTGAGTATGTACATGTGTGTGTAAGTGTTGGGTAAAAACTAACCCTGAGTGTGTGTTGGTGTGTGTGTGTGTGTAGGTCTAGATGTAAAAACTCACCCTATTGTTGTAGGCCAGCTCCACTCTATGTGTGTAGGTGTGTATGTGTGTTGGTGTGTGTGTATGTAGTGGTGTATGTTTGTGTGTGTGTGTGTAGGTCTAGATGTAAAAACTCACCCTATTGTTGTAGGCCAGCTCCACTCTATGTGTGTAGGTGTGTATGTGTGTTGGTGTGTGTGTATGTAGTGGTGTATGTTTGTGTGTGTGTGTAGGTCTAGATGTAAAGACTCACCCTATTATTGTAGGCCAGCTCCACTCTATGTGTGTGTTGGTGTGTGTATGTAGGGGTGTGTGTGTTGGTGTGTGTAGATGTCAAGACTCACCCTGTTGTTGTAGGCCAGCTCCATAGACTCTGACGACAGCTTACACAGGGCATCAATCAGGTGGTGGAGTGCCACGTCATCCAGGTACCTACAAGGCCAAGGTCACAGCATTACAGACATATGACAGGAAATGCCACCCTGCCCACCCCCTTTTTTAAAGTGAGGTTCATACTTGAATAGCATCATGACCCTTTGATTGCAACCCATCTCCCCGACTATAAAATATTCATAACCCTAACATATACAGTAACATGATTTATATCAATTTGGGCATGAACCACTAAAATTTAAAACCTCATTATAAATATTTAAAAACATAATCGAGGAACAATCTAATTTGAAGTTTGAAATGGCAGGATCAAGCCAGTTCACTTCTTGCAACACCTGAAACTTGTTTTAAAATTATCTTTTAAAACTATAGATTGGAATAAATATAAAAAATTATGACTGATTAATTGATGGAACAAAATCAAACATTATGGCTTTTGGTTTAAAATCTGCTGACAGATAATTTACTGGGAGCACTCAAACGGCCTAGATAAAGGGCAGATAACTCACTGGGAGCACTCACACAGCCTAGATAAAGGGCAGATAACTCACTGGGAGCACTCAAACAGCCTAGATAAAGGGCAGATAACTGAGCTCTCAAACAGCCTAGATAAAGGGCAGATAACTCAGTGTGAGCCCTCAAACAGCCTAGATAAAGGGCAGATAACTCAGTGTGAGCCCTCAAACAGCCTAGATAAAGGGCAGATAACTGAGCTCTCAAACAGCCTAGATAAAGGGCAGATAACTCAATGGGAGCTCTCAAACAGCCTAGATAAAGGGCAGATAACTCACTGTGAGCTCTCAAACAGCCTAGATAAAGGGCAGATAACTCACTGGGAGCCCTCAAACAGCCTAGATAAAGGGCAGATAACTCACTGGGAGCCCTCAAACAGCCTAGATAAAGGGCAGATAACTCACTGGAAGCCCTCAAACAGCCTAGATAAAGGGCAGATAACTCACTGGAAGCCCTCAAACAGCCTAGATAAAGGGCAGATAACTCACTGGAAGCCCTCAAACAGCCTAGATAAAGGGCAGATAACTCACTGGGAGCACTCAAACAGCCTAGATAAAGGGCAGATAACTGAGCTCTCAAACAGCCTAGATAAAGGGCAGATAACTCAATGTGAGCCCTCAAACAGCCTAGATAAAGGGCAGATAACTCACTGGGAGCACTCAAACAGCCTAGATAAAGGGCAGATAACTGAGCTCTCAAACAGCCTAGATAAAGGGCAGATAACTCAATGGGAGCTCTCAAACAGCCTAGATAAAGGGCAGATAACTCACTGTGAGCTCTCAAACAACCTAGATAAAGGGCAGATAACTCACTGGAAGCCCTCAAACAGCCTAGATAAAGGGCAGATAACTCACTGGGAGCACTCAATCAACCTAGATAAAGGGCAGATAACTCACTGTGAGCTCTCAAACAGCCTAGATAAAGGGCAGATAACTCACTGGGAGCTCTCAAAGAGCCTAGATAAAGGGCAGATAACTCACTGTGAGCTCTCAAAGAGCCTAGATAAAGGGCAGATAACTCACTGTGAGCTCTCAAACAGCCTAGATAAAGGGCAGATAACTCACTGTGAGCTCTCAAAGAGCCTAGATAAAGGGCAGATAACTCACTGTGAGCTCTCAAACAGCCTAGATAAAGGGCAGATAACTCACTGTGAGCTCTCAAAGAGCCTAGATAAAGGGCAGATAACTCACTGGGAGCTCTCAAAGAGCCTAGATAAAGGGCAGATAACTCACTGTGAGCTCTCAAAGAGCCTAGATAAAGGGCAGATAACTCACTGTGAGCTCTCAAACAGCCTAGATAAAGGGCAGATAACTCACTGTGAGCTCTCAAAGAGCCTAGATAAAGGGCAGATAACTCACTGTGAGCTCTCAAACAGCCTAGATAAAGGGCAGATAACTCACTGTGAGCTCTCAAACAGCCTAGATAAAGGGCAGATAACTCACTGTGAGCTCTCAAACAGCCTAGATAAAGGGCAGATAACTCACTGTGAGCTCTCAAACAGCCTAGATAACATGGCAGACAGCACAGGGAGGTCAGCCATGGCTGCTGTTGTTATGACGCTGCTGCTTGCGTCGTTGATCTGCTGGCCGGCCTTCAAGCTGCCTCCTGCTGATGGTTTCAGACCCAAGATCCACACAAGGTGCTGTCAATAGATGGGTGAGATGGACAAATAATTGTGTGGATAGGCGAGGTGGACAAATAGTTGTGTGTATAGGCTAGGTGGACAAATAATTGTGTGTATAGGTGAGGTGGACAAATAATTGTGTGGATAGGTGAGGTGGACAAATAATTGTGTGGATAGGTGAGATGGACAAATAATTGTGTGTGGACAAATAATTGTGTGTATAGGTTAGGTGGACAAAAAATTGTGTGTATAGGCTAGGTGGACAAATAATTGTGTGTATACGCTAGGTGGACAAATAATTGTGTGTTTAGTCTAGGTGGTCAAATAATTGTATGTGGACAAATAATTGTGTGTATAGGTTAGGTGGACAAATAATTGTGTGTATAGGCTAGGTGGACAAATAATTGTGTGTTTAGTCTAGGTGGTCAAATAATTGTATGTGGACCAATAATTGTGTGTATAGGTTAGGTGGACAAATAATTGTGTGTGGACAAATAATTGTGTGTATAGGTTAGGTGGACAAATAAACAAAAAGGGCATATAAACAAAAAGGGCATTCGTCAAAGTGTAACTGATGAGTAATGATGTTGAAACAAGGACATTTGTAATGATAAATGATCCCATATAAAATATCTGTTGCCTTATACAAACAGGGGATGGTAGAGCGCTGACTGTTAACCCTAAAGTCTCGAATTCGAATCTAGCTTCAAGTCAGTGAAACATTCCTAAGTTCACCCAGCTCTGATGGGTACCTAACTCACATTTGGGAAAGTGAATGTGGCTGGGCAAAGTGCTGACCCTTCAAATGCCAATGTCACAGAAACAGGGGAACTCTACTTCACTTTCTCAGTGGACCGTTGAGTTCAAAAAGGGAACTTTACTTTTGTCAAAATAAGGGAGCAAATTCAAGATGGGTAAGAATAAAAAGAACAACTCTTTGTTGAGGTCAATGAAGTTTTTATGTGCCCTCTCATAAATAACTTACACACTCTTTAGAAAGTGTACATTTGAATCAGGATGGATTAAAAAAGTTATTTGAAATGACCCAGACTGGAATTAATTATTGAAAAGCTCTATTTGACAAAAACAATGGTGATGTCTCAACTGTACTAAGATTTGCTTTGAAGTCAGATGTAACACAAGATACCCTGAAACCTGTGGTAACTGAACACTGGCTAGCTTCAAACAAAACACATTATTTTTAAAACCCTTAGTACACAAGGTGCGGAAGTTAGGATGGTGAAATCTGCTTTATGTAGAATACTATATTAGCTGTGACTGGTGCCACCAACACATTCCCCCCCCCCCCCCCCCCCCCACCCCACAAAAAATATACCTTAGCCACCTTTCTCACCTAATAAAGAGAGACAACTTGCTAAATTTTTATAAAAGGAAAAGGAAAAAATGTTATCTCCCTTAAATTAGAATTTTTAAACTCTGTGTAATATAGATTAATTTTTTACTTGTAGTTGTAGTCATCAATCTTAATTTTTTAAATTATTTATTTTTAATTATTTAGCACACAAAGTTTTTTTTAATTTCAAAATAAAGATTAAATTTTGTTGCGCTCTCACCTGAAGTGTGGTTAAGACTAGATGCCAGGCAGAGCCTAAAATATCACCATGACAATGGGCAAGACTCAAAAGTGCCCTCATAACTTGAATGTTTTTGGCTGTCAACTGAGGAGGTAAAAGAAAATAATTAATGAGGATTAGATAAAAATTAGGAAAGATGAACGAAAAGGTGTCAATTCTACAAATAAAGTCAATACTATAATCAATTAGCTTGATCTGTGAAGTCAGAGTAAACCTTTTAATTGACAACAATTTTTAACTTAACAAATCTTTTAAATATAAGAAATCTATTCATCTTGTATAAAACACTATTTTATGCAAAATAAGCAGATTATAATACTGAGATTTTTTTAAAATACGTTATTGTTGTGGCTCATGGTTTAAAATCAATATAGCAGGGTAGGGTGGAGGTAAAATATGGTTTTAATATAACTTGTCAATGTTTTCACAAGCAAAGTACTAAATACAAAAGAGACCTTTTTAGGTGCACAGTTTAATATGTAAAACTTTAAATCTTACAGGCTTTGGTATATGAGATTATGTGTATGATTTAATGTGTGTAATTTAGTGACATACAAAGACCTGACTTTGGAATATGAAATTAAGTGTATGATTTAATGTGTGAAATTTTGTAAGACGTACAGAGACTTGACTGGAATATGATATTATGTGTATGATTTAATGTGTCAAATTTAGTAAGACGTACAGAGACTTGACTGTGGTATATGAGATACGTACAGAGACTTGACTTTGGTATATGAGATACGTACAGAGACTTGACTTTGGCATATGAGATACGTACAGAGACTTGACTTTGGTGAGAGCCAGCAGGCAGTGAGGCTGTGGGCAGGGCTGTTCCTATGGCAACCACCTGGCTTCTCTCTACTGTGTCACTGGCAGATTCTTGACTGGCTGTTCTGTTCAGCACTGCTGTACAATAGGACAGGGGTCATCAAAGTCATAACAATGTTGTCAATAATATAGGCATTATAAGAAGGTATGTTGATTGTTGCTGTACAACAGGACAGTGGTCATCAAAGTCAAAACAATTAATTTTAAATATTATATGCATTATAAGAAGTTATGTTGATTGTTGCTGTACAACAGGACAGCAGTCATCAAAGTCAAAACAATTAATTTTAAATATTATATGCATTATAAGAAGTTATGTTGATTGTTGCTGTACAACAGGACAGCAGTCATCAAAGTCAAAACAATTAATTTTAAATATTATATGCATTATAAGAAGTTATGTTGACTGTTGCTGTACAACAGGACAGTAGTCATCAAAGTCAAAACAATTAATTTTAAATATTATATGCATTATAAGAAGTTATGTTGACTGTTGCTGTACAACAGGACAGTAGTCATCAAAGTCAAAACAATTATTTTTAAATATTATATGCATTATAAGAAGTTATGTTGATTGTTGCTGTACAACAGGACAGTGGTCATCAAAGTCAAAACAATTAATTTTAAATATTATATGCATTATAAGAAGTTATGTTGATTGTTGCTGTACAACAGGACAGCAGTCATCAAAGTCAAAACAATTAATTTTAAATATTATATGCATTATAAGAAGTTATGTTGATTGTTGCTGTACAACAGGACAGCAGTCATCAAAGTCAAAACAATTAATTTTAAATATTATATGCATTATAAGAAGTTATGTTGACTGTTGCTGTACAACAGGACAGTAGTCATCAAAGTCAAAACAATTAATTTTAAATATTATATGCATTATAAGAAGTTATGTTGACTGTTGCTGTACAACAGGACAGTAGTCATCAAAGTCAAAACAATTATTTTTAAATATTATAGGCATTATAAGAAGTTATGTGGATTGTTGCTGTTCAATAGGACAGTAGTCATCAAAGTCAAAACAATTAATTTTAAATAATATAGGCATTATAAGAAGTTATGTGCATTGTTGCTGTTCATTAGGTCAGTAGTCATCAAAGTCAAAACAATTAATTTTAAATATTATAGGCATTATAAGAAGTTATGTTGACTGTTGCTGTTCAATAAGACAGTAGTCATCAAAGTCAAAACAATTAATTTTAAACATTATATGCATTTTAAGAAGTTATGTTGACTGTTGCTGTACAACAGGACAGTAGTCATCAAAGTCAAAACAATTAATTTTAAATATTATATGCATTATAAGAAGTTATGCTGATTGTTGCTGTTCATTAGGTCAGCAGTCATCAAAGTCAAAACAATTAATTTTAAATATTATATGCAATATAAGAAGTTGTGTTGACTGTTGCTGTTCAATAGGACAGTAGTCATCAAAGTCATAACAATTATTTTTTAAATCATAAGCGTTAAAACAAAAAAATATCAACTTAACTAGGGTATAGCTGTTTAGTCATTTTTAATTTCATTAACATTATAATACTTAAAACCTAAAATATTCATCAATGTTTTGAGAATACTATTTTTTAAATAATATATTTTGTAAACAAAAATGTAGATGCTAATTAAAGGTAAATGTTCAATTTCTCTGCTTTAAAATTTTGAATAGTTATACTGTCACAAAAGTTATGGAACATGAATGCCTTTTATAAATGTCCTAGCAGAAAGTCAGGTGTAAAAAGTGCGAGGCCCACCTTTGTATCCAGAGCTGGAGTTGGCGTGAGAGTTGAGGATGGTCAGGGTGTAGTGGGGTGGGAGCGAGGCCTTACACAGGGCCGTGATGAAGGCATCCCTGGGGGTGGCCATGTTCAGGTGGCCGCACATGTTGGCGTAGGCTTCTTGGGCCTTCAGGATCATTTCAGTGGCTGACTCGTCAGTGCTTCAGACAAATGGCATCGCTTTAGTACAACTTTAAGGCTATTACAGGTTATTTCCCCTGACAAAAAAAAAGTCTACAAAAAAGTATATTCTTCAGGCAGATGATGAGATAGACTCCTTTTATTGCATCTGTTTATTTTAGCTTATTTCCCCTGATACGAAAGTTAACAGAATTTGGTATGCTGGGAACTGATTATTTTATTACATTATGATTGGTATCGCAAGTTACTCCTTCTATCCCCCAAACAAAAAAATGTTCTACTAAAATTAAAGACTGTTATATATGCAAAGTATTTTTATTATTGTTTAATTAAATGTGCATACAAAAGATGTTTTTAAAAAAAAATATCTTCTCTTAGAAGTTGTGGGTTAGGGCACAATAAAATGAATAATAAAGCAAATTACATCTGTTAAACATGTGTTTTTTTCCGTTTCTAACCATTTTTGTTTGGTAAATAACAAAAAATGATTAGAAATGTTTGAAAAGTATTCAATAAATAATTTTATAAAAATAGGACTTAAAAATAAAAAAATATTTCTCCCAGCACCTATGTACAACAAATAATATTTGTTTAAATGGTCAAAAATTGAAAATAAATGGATTGTATTGTCCATGTTTTTAAGAAATTGTGGATAATGGAAGAAATAGCATAGGCTATGATTAAGGATGTCCAGCTTTGCATGTCTTAAATAAACCAACAGTTGAGAGCAGTGTCTCTCAACTCATTATTTTACATGTGATGGTTTCAGCAGTAAAGAATGTAAATTACATTACAACAGAACACATGAGAGGTATGATAATTGATAATGGAAGCTTGGAGGTGGATGCCTAGCTTCTAAAAATGAAGAACCCACAATTTTTATTTCTATGGAATGGGAGATGACAGCTAGAGCCAGTAAACAGGATTATTTCTTAGCTTTCACTGACTGAGTTGTGTAACAAAGTTAGAAAAGAAACAGTGCTATCTGAAACTACAATGTAATCTTAACCAGATGATGAATTAACTATGCTGCAAAAAAGTTGAATCTTATACAAGATAATACAGTTAATTAATGAAATATTGGCTGGTGATTCTTTTTAAAATGCATAAAAAACGTAAGGTTAATGGAAATTTGATTTTTCAAGATTTTTTAAGCTGTAATTAAATTGTGAAATAACATTCATAGCACAGAAAGACATTAATTAATTTTTTAAAGATAATGTGATTTTAATAAAAAAAAAATTCTGTAAAAAGTTGCATTGAAAAAATAATTTTAAAATACGTGTATGGAATTACACAATTAAAGGTGAACTATATACTTTAACATGGCAGTCACATAGAACGTTCACAGTAACAAAGATTGTGACATGTGGTGTCACTTCTCTAATACATCACAGCCATATAAAACATAAACAGCAACACAATTTTTAGCAGTAAATAAGTAATGAGTAAAAATTAAGCATAAGAAAATAGAAATTCAAAACATACCGGGATAAGCCACAATAATTTTCAAAACTACAAACATCAGAGGAAATGACAGAAATTTTTTTTTAAATGAGAGATAAAATAAGTTACCTAGAACTAGAGCTTATATACACTAACAAAACCTAAGTTGCACTAAAATTCTATTTATGAAACCATTTGGAGGATAGAAACAATTTTGTAATTCAAATTAGGTCAAGAATTTGCCTTTACTGAGTTGCCTGGGATAACCTATCTAAGGCTTGCTACTAACTGTTGCTGTTTGTTTTGTCGTCAAGAATTGCATGATGTCATGAAATCTGGCGTCTAACAAAAGGTGAAATGTCATGTGTCATGTGAGGTCAGTGACCTGGCGTCTAACAAAAGGTGAAATGTCATGTGTCGTGTGAGGTCAGTTACCTGGCGTCTAACAAAAGGTGAAATGTCATGTGTCATGTGAGGTCAGTTACCTGGCGTCCAGCAGAAGTGAGAGTGCAGCCAGCATGCCACACCAGGAGGAGTTGATCAGCTCAATGTTCAGTTGTCTGTCTTCTTCAGCTGAAACACAGGGAGTACACATTTAGGTACACATGTTGTGTACACACATTCACATCACACTGTATACACATTCACATCACACTGTGTACACACATTCACATCACACTGTATACACATTCACATCACACTGTATACACATTCACATCACACTGTATACACATTCACATCACACTGTATACACATTCACATCACACTGTATGCACATTCAAATTTAACACATTCAAACCAAACTTTGTGTACACGCACTCAAATCACACTTTTTGTACACATTTTAAATAACACTTCCTGTACACATAATTCAAATAACATTTTTGAACACACATTCAAATAACATTTTTGAACACACATTCAAATAACATTTTTGTACACACATTCAAAAAACAAACAATAAAATTACACTTTCTGCACACAATCAAATAACACTTTTGTATATACATTAACATAACACATTTTTACACAAAAGTCCTTACATGATTCTGTCACATCCACCTCCCTCTTTGCCTTGAGCTCCCCCTCCTCCCCTTCCCCCATGACCAGGACCTGGACTGTCTTGGTCATCTCCATCAAGTTGCGGAAGGCCAGAGAGACACCGTAGCCATCAGGTACAGCTGGGGGCTCTGTCTTGTCCAGCAGCTCCAGGCTACAACATGTACACACGTCACATGAGTTGGGGGAGAGATGGCTGGACCCACAGTAGGTGTGTGAGGGTGGGGTCTGTGAGGGAGGGTGTTGTCTGTGTGGGAGGGTGTTGTCTGTGTGGGAGGATGTGTGTGGGAGGGTGTTGTCTGAGTGGGAGGGTGTGTGTGGGAGGGTGTTGTCTGTGTGGGAGGGTGTGTGTGGGAGGGTGTGTGTGAGAGGCTGTAGTCTGTGTCAGAGGGTGAGGTCTGTGTGGGAGGGTGTTGTCTGTGTGGGAGGGTGTTGTTTGTGGGGGGAGGGTGTTGTCTGTGTGGGAGGGTGTGTGTGGGAGGGTGTTGTCTGTTTGGGTGGGTGTTGTCTGTGTGGGAGGGTGTTGTCTGTGTGGGAGGGTGTGTGTGGGAGGGTGTTGTCTGAGTGGGAGGGTGTTGTCTGTGTGGGAGGGTGTGGTCTGTGTGGGAGGGTGTGTGTGGGAGGGTGTGTGTGGGAGGGTGTGTGTGGGAGGGTGTGTGTGGGAGGGTGTGTGTGGGAGGGTGTTGTCTGTGTGGGAGGGTATTGTCTGTGTGGGAGGGTGTTGTCTGTGTGGGAGGGTGTTGTCTGTGTGGGGGGGGGGTGTTGTCTGTGTGGGAGGGTGTGTGTGGGAGGGTGTGTGTGGGAGGGTGTGGTCTGTGTGGGAGGGTGTTGTCTGTGTGGGAGGGTGTGTGTGGGAGGGTGTGTGTGGGAGGGTGTGGTCTGTGTGGGGGGAGTGTTGTCTGTGTGGGAGGGTGTTGTCTGTGTGGGAGGGTGTGTGTGGGAGGGTGTGGTCTGTGTGGGAGGGTGTTGTCTGTGTGGGGGGTGTTGTCTGTGTGGGAGGGTGTTGTCTGTGTGGGAGGGTGTTGTCTGTATGGGAGGGTGTTGTCTGTGTGGGAGGGTGTTGTCTGTGTGGGAGGGTGTTGTCTGTGTGGGAGGGTGTGTGTAGGAGGGTGTTGTCTGTGTGGGAGGGTGTTATGTGTGTGGGAGGGTGTTGTCTGTGTGGGAGGGTGTGTGTGGGAGGGTGTTGTCTGTGTGGGAGGATGTGTGAGAGGCTGTAGTCTGTGTCAGAGGGTGTGGTCTGTGTGGGAGGGTGTTGTCTGTGTGGGAGGGTGTTGTCTGTGTGGGAGGGTGTGTGTGGGAGGGTGTTGTCTGTGTGGGGGGTGTTGTCTGTGTGGGAGGGTGTTGTCTGTGTGGGAGGGTGTTGTCTGTATGGGAGGGTGTTGTCTGTGTGGGAGGGTGTTGTCTGTGTGGGAGGGTGTGTGTAGGAGGGTGTTGTCTGTGTGGGAGGGTGTTATGTGTGTGGGAGGGTGTTGTCTGTGTGGGAGGGTGTGTGGGAGGGTGTGTGTGGGAGAGTGTTGTCTGTGTGGGAGGATGTGTGAGAGGCTGTAGTCTGTGTCAGAGGGTGTGGTCTGTGTGGGAGGGTGTTGTCTGTGTGGGAGGGTGTATTCTGTGTGGGAGGGTGTGTGTGGGAGGGTGTGTGTGGGAGGCTATTGTTGGTAGTGTGTGTGAGAGGCTGTAGTCGGTGTCAGAGGGTGTTGTCTGTGTGGGAGGGTGTGTGTGGGAGGCTGTTGTTGGTAGTGTGTGTGGGAGGCTGTTGTTGGTAGTGTGTGTGAGAGGCTGTTGTTGGTAGTGTGTGTGGGAGGCTGTTGTTGGTAGTGTGTGTGGGAGGCTGTTGTTGGTAGTGTTTGTGGGAGGCTGTTGTTGGTAGTGTTTGTGGGAGGCTGTTGTTAGTACTGTGTGTGGGAGGCTGTTGTTGGTAGTGTGTGTGGGAGGCTGTTGTTGGTAGTGTGTGTGGGAGGCTGTTGTTAGTAGTGTGTGTGGGAGGCTGTTGTTAGTAGTGTGTGTGGGAGGCTGTTGTTGGTAGTGTGTGTGGGAGGCTGTTGTTGGTAGTGTGTGTGGGAGGCTGTTGTTGGTAGTGTGTGTGGGAGGCTGTTGTTGGTAGTGTGTGCGGGAGGCTGTTGTTGGTAGTGTGTGTGGGAGGCTGTTGTTGGTAGTGTTTGTGAGAGGCTGTTGTTGGTAGTGTGTGTGGGAGGCTGTTGTTAGTAGTGTGTGTGGGAGGCTGTTGTTGGTAGTGTGTGTGAGAGGCTGTTGTTGGTAGTGTGTGTGGGAGGCTGTTGTTGGTAGTGTGTGTGAGAGGCTGTTGTTGGTAGTGTGTGCGGGAGGCTGTTGTTGGTAGTGTGTGTGAGAGGCTGTTGTTGGTAGTGTGTGCGGGAGGCTGTTGTTGGTAGTGTGTGTGAGAGGCTGTTGTTGGTAGTGTGACTAGGTCGAGTATTATTATAGTAAGATTGCATTATAAAGTAAGAAAAATGAATTGCTATCTCTAAGCTAAACACAGGACTATAAGGATAACAATGATGATTGGGAAAAATGAGAATAATTATTCTTGATAATTAGATTTATAAGCATAATTATAACAAGTCTGGATAATAAGAATTATAATAATCAGGACAGTAAGGATAATAAAAATAATACTGAAGTGACTCACAATCCAGCCTTGACCTGCCCCTGTGGTATGTTGGTCAACAAGGGTATCCACACCCCTCTGTAGATGAAAGCTGGCTGCGGACTCACACCCCCACCCACAGGCATACCCCCCACAATAGCTGGGGGAGTGCCCTGTGTGTCTGGAAGCTTCACACCTGTAACAAAATATAAAGCATAAGAACTGTACAACTTTTTCCTTTAGTTCCTAATGTCCACTTGCCTGTCTGTATGTTGGTTTGTGGTCAAATCAATTATGTATCTTTTGAGACAATAAAGAATTAAATATTTTGTTATATAAGCTTTTATTTTTAACTATTTTTATATTATTATAGCTAAATAAAATAGAGGTAATTTAGTACACTAAAAAGAAGTAACAATGAACTCTCCTCTATCCTACCATTGTATTAAAAGTACACTAATCATACTAGTATTTGAATGGACACAACAATTCTATCCTCATCAGTACACACACAGTACACACACAGTACACACAGAACACACACAGAACTCACACAGTACACACAGTATACACACGGTACACACACAGTACACACACATTTCTTAAAGCAAGGTTAACTCACCACCTTGGGTGACTGGCCCACCCAATGGATTCATAAACAAAGATTGAATGAAGGCTCCCAGAGCGTTGATTATGTCTCTGAAAATCTTGGTTGAGTGTGGCTTCATGTCATACGACTGACAGAAACTCCTACAAAGAAAGTGAGTAGATTTTTCAACTCTTTTCTACACACTGTATTATTTCTTATTTATAAAATAATTATTTAATATATTTCTATACACAAATCTGAGAAGATAATTATTTTGTTTAGTATTTTAATTTTTAAAAATTAAATGTGTGATGTTGTACTTCATTATTTAGGATTAGGTTATGTGATTTGAGTTATTTAGTGAATTAACCATTCACTCACTTTATAAGCCCAGGCTGTACAGATAATTTGTGGAGAACTTCTAATGAGAGACATCTTTGCCAGATTGGCTTTTCTGGATCCAAAAATTTGACCAAAAGTGAAAGGAAAATTTCACATTCAGTTACCTGGAGTTGTTTAAAAATAATTCATTGCATAAAAGTATTAGTGTGTTTGACATCAAATCTAATATCTGTAAAATATCTCACTAAATCCCACCAGAACAATAAAGAAGCAAAAAATGTGTCTAGTAAGTTTGCATTTCATAAATTTGATTGCTAATGTAATAGTCCGTAAATGTTGTGTAAAAGGAAAAAAAAAATAAGTTCAGATGTAGTAGGTTCATGTTTCTTTACCTTTATCATATGAAGAGATTGAGTGGTCAGCACTATGACTACTCACCTTTACTTGATTTGAGTCAAGAGCTTAGTAAACATAAAAATGTACTATACTTAAAATTCCCAACCAGTAATTCAAGACCGTGGGTTTTCTGTGCAATCGCCAACTAAAACAGTTAACTAAACCAATATTAACTATAATCCTATTTCAAGTTTTAGCTGTATTAAAGATATCTTTTTAAAATTATATTAGAGTCACTGATCACTAGCTTTAAAAAAATTGGTGGCCAGCTGAAAAAAGGTTGGGAACCTTTTTTCTATAATCAAGCCAGGTCTAGAGATTCAGACTTCTGACAACAGTTGACAGACACAACACAGTAACAACTCACCAGCAAGGGGTAGTAGAATCTGATGAGAACAGCTACAATCCGCAACAGCCTCATGACTATAGGGAAATAAGGTTTCTCCACCAGGGCTGGGGAGGGAGCAGGGGGGAGGCCCTGGCGGTACTTCAGGCTGGGTGAGAACAGTTTGATGACCAGTGGGCAGACTTTTTCTTTCAGCATGAAGCTAAACTCATGATGCTGTACAGGGGGAATAACTTGTAGTTAGTTTTTTGTTAAATTACACAACAAATATCTACAAGAATTCTTTTCATAAGTACACTGGTCCTTTTTATGTTGCATGTAAAATGAAATAAAAATATTCTTTTTAATAACGATTTAGAGAAATTTTGAAGATTTTATGTTGAAAAACACTAAAGAAATGGGCATTTGTCTTTCTGCACCAAGTTGTCTTAGTAAGATATCTTTTTTTTCCTAAGAAAATACCAGCAATTAAATTTCAGAAAAAATTAAAGTCCGTTTGTGTATGATCTGAAGGTGACATAATGAAATCTACATGTGTATGATCTGAAGATGACAATGAAATCTACCTGTGTATGATCTAAAGGTGACAAAACATACCTGTGAGAAGGTACTAGGGTAGCTGGTCAGCACAGACTCCAGAAGTTCCAGACCAAAAGTTCTGGTCATCTCAGTCATGCCGGTCAACCAGAATGGCTGGTCAGCATTGACTAGCTGGCATAGGTCCTGCAATAAAAACTTGTACATTAGCAACATGTCTTCAAGTTTAGAAAGTTATAACATTTATTTATAACTGTTTTTGGTTGTTTTTTTAAGGTGATGACACATGTAAAATAAAGAAAAACAGGACAGATTCTTCATTCATGACATAAAATTTTTAACATTGTTTAAAAAGTAGGCAGGTATTATAATCATTAAAAAATGGAATTATATTTTGGTGTTTCCAATATCATCTAGCTATAACCTAGACTGTATGACTGTTTTGCCTGTATCATACTTATCTACCTGGGTCTTATGTTAGCTCTAGCCTACACTATACAGGCTGATCATCTTTACCTGAAACAAGAGGTAGGCATCCCCTGCACAGGGTCTTAAAGACTTGGGTGGTGACTTGCTGCCAGCTTTTAATTCTTCTATGTTGATTGGCTCTTTAGGTTCTGGAAACAACCAATCAGATATAAGATAAACATTTTTAAATTTTTCTAAATGTCAAGCTAAACAAAAACTGTATTACTCATGGTGGGCAGTTTGTCCTCTATGACTTACCCATGGTGGGCAGTTTGTCCTCTATGACTTACCCATGGTGGGCAGTTTGTCCTCTATGACTTACCCATGGTGGGCAGTTTGTCCTCTATGACTTACCCATGGTGGGCAGCTTGTCCTCTATGACTTACCCATGGTGGGCAGCTTGTCCTTACCCATGGTGGGCAGTTTGTCCTCTATGACTTACCCATGGTGGGCAGCTTGTCTATGACTTACCCATGGTGGGCAGCTTGTCCTTACCCATGGTGGGCAGTTTGTCCTCTATGACTTACCCATGGTGGGCAGCTTGTCCTCTATGACTTACCCATGGTGGGCAGCTTGTCCTCTATGACTTACCCATGGTGGGCAGTTTGTCCTCTATGACTTACCCATGGTGGGCAGCTTGTCCTCTATGACTTACCCATGGTGGGCAGTTTGTCCTCTATGACTTACCCATGGTGGGCAGCTTGTCCTCTATGACTTACCCATGGTGGGCAGTTTGTCTATGACTTACCCATGGTGGGCAGTTTGTCCTCTATGACTTACCCATGGTGGGCAGTTTGTCCTCTATGACTTACCCATGGTGGGCAGTTTGTCCTTACCCATGGTGGGCAGTTTGTCCTCTATGACTTACCCATGGTGGGCAGTTTGTCCTTACCCATAGTAGGCAGTTTGTCCTTACCCATGGTGGGCAGCTTGTCCTCTATTACTTACCCATGGTGGGCAGTTTGTCCTCTATGACTTACCCATGGTGGGCAGTTTGTCCTCTATGACTTAACCATGGTGGGCAGTTTGTCGTCTATGACTTACCCATGGTGGGCAGTTTGTCCTCTATGACTTACCCATGGTGGGCAGTTTGTCCTCTATGACTTAACCATGGTGGGCAGTTTGTCGTCTATGACTTACCCATGGTGGGCAGCTTGTCCTCTATGACTTACCCATGGTGGGCAGTTTGTCCTCTATAACTTACCCATGGTGGGCAGTTTGTCCTCTATGACTTACCCATAGTGGGCAGTTTGTCCTTACCCATGATGGGCAGCTTGTCCTCTATGACTTACCCATGGTGGGCAGTTTGTCCTCTATAACTTACCCATGGTGGGCAGCTTGTCCTCTATGACTTACCCATGGTGGGCAGTTTGTCCTCTATGACTTACCCATGGTGGGCAGTTTGTCCTCTATGACTTACCCATAGTGGGCAGTTTGTCCTCTATGACTTACCCATGGTGGGCAGTTTGTCCTCTATGACTTAGCCATGGTGGGCAGCTTGTCCTTACCCATGGTGGGCAGTTTGTCCTTACCCATGGTGGGCAGCTTGTCCTCTATGACTTACCCATAGTGGGCAGTTTGTCCTCTATGACTTACCCATGGTGGGCAGTTTGTCCTCTATGACTTACCCATGGTGGGCAGTTTGTCCTTACCCATGGTGGGCAGTTTGTCCTTACCCATGGTGGGCAGTTTGTCCTTACCCATGGTGGGCAGTTTGTCCTCTATGACTTACCCATGGTGGGCAGCTTGTCCTCTATAACTTACCCATGGTAGGCAGCTTGTCCTCTAAGACTTACCCATGGTGGGCAGTTTGTCCTCTATGACTTACCCGTGGTGGGCAGTTTGTCCTCTATGACTTACCTATGGTGGGCAGTTTGTCCTTACCCATGGTGGGCAGCTTGTCCTTACCCATGGTGGGCAGCTTGTCCTTACCCATGGTGGGCAGTTTGTCCTCTATGACTTACCCATGGTGGGCAGCTTGTCCTCTATAACTTACCCATGGTGGGCAGTTTGTCCTCTATAACTTACCCATGGTGGGCAGCTTGTCCTCTATAACTTACCCATGGTGGGCAGTTTGTCCTCTATGACTTACCCATGGTGGGCAGCTTGTCCTTACCCATGGTGGGCAGTTTGTCCTCTATGACTTACCCATGGTGGGCAGCTTGTCCTTACCCATGGTGGGCAGTTTGTCTCTATAACTTACCCATGGTGGGCAGCTTGTCCTCTATGACTTACCCATGGTGGGCAGTTTGTCCTCTATGACTTACCCATGGTGGGCAGTTTGTCCTCTATGACTTACAGGTGGTGGGCAGTTTGTCCTTACCCATGATGGGCAGTTTGTCCTCTATGACTTACCCATGGTGGGCAGTTTGTCCTCTATGACTTACCCATGGTGGGCAGTTTGTCCTCTATGACTTACCCATGGTGGGCAGTTTGTCCTCTATGACTTACCCATGGTGGGCAGCTTGTCCTTACCCATGGTGGGCAGTTTGTCCTCTATGACTTACCAATGGTGGGCAGCTTGTCCTCTATGACTTACCCATGGTGGGCAGTTTGTCCTTACCCATTGTGGGCAGCTTGTCTATGACTTACCCATGGTGGGCAGTTTGTCCTTACCCATGGTGGGCAGCTTGTCCTCTATGACTTACCCATTGTGGGCAGCTTGTCCTCTATGACTTACCCATGGTGGGCAGTTTGTCCTCTATGACTTACCCATGGTGGGCAGTTTGTCCTCTATGACTTACCCATGGTGGGCAGTTTGTCCTCTATGACTTACCCATGGTGGGCAGCTTGTCCTCTATGACTTACCCATGGTGGGCAGCTTGTCTATGACTTACCCATGGTGGGCAGCTTGTCCTCTATGACTTACCCATGGTGGGCAGCTTGTCCTCTATGACCACCCTATCAAAGATGGCAGAGACCAGCTGTTTGATGGCTGCTGCCGCTGTGTTGATGGTTGTACTGTCTTTGGTGAAGTGAAGGCGAAAACAAAGCACAAGGGCCTGGGGAGGTGAGGGTCAGGGTAAATACAATCAAAATACAGGATATGAAACATAGCTAAGTGTATGGCTGATTGTATGAGGTTGTATGGCCGACTATATAGCTGTTGGTATGGCATGTTATTGAGCTAGTTATCAACTTAATGTAATCTGCAATTGTTTTCTATATATTCAACAACAGTATTCCAGAATTATTTACCTACTTACCCCCTCCCCCTACCTAAATTAAAGAAAGCAACTCGTTCCTAAATATCTCAATAGCAGTATTAAACATGATTGACATTATTGGTGACAAGCCTCACCTACCTTTAATGTTAAATGACAAGCCCCACCCATCTTTGATGTCAATTTTATTAGCTCCGCCCACCTTTGATACTGACAAGCCCCCCCCCCCCCTCCTCGCCTACCTTTGATTGTTGTCTGAAAAGCCTGACCCACCATTTGAGTTGACTGACATGCCCCACCCACCTTTGATGTTGACTGACAAGCCCCACCCACCTTTGATGTTGACTGACAAGCCCCACCCACCTTTGATGTTGACTGACAAGCCCCATCCACCATTGATGGTAACTGACGAGCCCCACCCACCTTTGATGTTGACTGACAAGCCCCACCCACCTTTGATGTTGACTGACAAGCCCCACCCACCTTTGATGTTGACTGACAAGCCCCACCCACCTTTGATGTTGACTGACAAGCCCCACCCACCTTTAATGTTGACTGACAAGCTCCACCCACCTTTGATGTTGACTGACAAGCCCCACCCACCTTTGATGTAGACTGACAAGCCCCACCCACCTTTGATGTTGACTGACAAGCCCCACCCATTTTTGATGTTGACTGACAAGCCCCACCCACCTTTGCTAGAGACTCATGCTGTACCACAGAGTTGATGGTGAGAAGTAAAATGGCCGTCTGCAGCAGTTTCAGCTCCTCCATCCCCACCTCCATTAGACGCCACAACATTCCAATAATAGAATCTGCTGCAGCCTGAAATAGTTATTATAAAATATGTTGAGAGACGCCACATCATTTAATTAATAGAATCTGCTGCAGCCTGCAAGGGTTATTTAAAAAAATGTTGACAGACGCCACAACATTCCAATAATAGAATCTGCTGCAGCCTGAAATGGTTAGCACAAAATATGTTGAGAGACGCCACAATATTCCAATAATGGGATATTTTTCACAAATTTGTTAAGCAAACAGGCTACTTCAGTCCCCGTAACAACATAATAAGCTTTAAATTTTAGAAATAATATACAGCAAGCTTTTGTTTTTATTTAGTGGTCACTTCAAATCACTTAATAGAAAATGAATTAACATAGCTGCCTGCCAATACAAAGCTATCAACAGATTAATTATAAAGACAAATAAATATTTGTAAAGAAGCACATATTCTGTAAATATTGGTCATGGTAGCAAATGAATGAGCAACTCACAGTGTTGAAAAGGATTGAATATAACAGAAGCACAGGTAGAAATAGAGAAATAAATGAGCAACTACACAGTGTTGAAAAGGATTGAATATAACAGAAGCACAGGTAGAAATAGAGAAATAAATGAGTAACTCACAGTGGAGACAGCCTCATGGGAGATCATCCTCTGTACAGCCACCAGGCACTGAGGCACCAGCTTGGGGTTTTTGGTGTCACAGCCCAGCACAAAAGGCTGGATCACGTCACTGCTCATAGACAGGAGACCTAGGTGCAAAAACAATAGTAACAGCGAAAAAAAAAAAGAGAAAATAATTTTTGGGGATTTTTAAAAAGTCATTAGTAGCTAGAGGTATTTAACTTCTTCACTTGCCTGCAATGATATCCTCATTTTTAGCTGATACTGTCCTTAACTTGACCTGCACCATTTCAGCACACTGCAACACAATAATAAATTTATACTTTTTGATGTTTGAAAGTATTTAAAGTTATACCATCAACTAGCAATATTTTTTTAAAATATATCTTATTTAGTCCAGTAAGTTAGAACTTATAATGTATATAATTATATGGGTGCGTATCAAATATGAAATAATTGTAATCATTTCCACTTGTTCATCAAGTTTCATTAAAATGTCAGTAGGCTTACCTCTTTGACTTCAGGATGTTTTCTTTTACATTCCGCAGACAGCATTCGTAAATCATTCTGCATGCTGTCCAAAAGTTTTTTAGCAAGAACAGGGTTGTTCTGACCATGAGTTCCCATGATGGCGATTTTGCACAAACCCTCAATCAATTTCAAGTCTTAATAAATGACCATAAAAACAGACAGAGAAGATTTCTGCAAAAAAATGTAAGCCTAATAAAATTGACAGTTATAAATTCAATATGGTATTAACAGTAAAATACTATTTCTATTAACTTTTTTTACTAGAAATATACATTAGGGGTCATCCATTTATGACGTCCACAAATTTTTTGGATTTTGGACCCCCCCCCCCCTCCACAAAAATCCACTTATTTCCCTTATGTAAGTCCATACGCGTCCGCAAAAGTCCATTTTCTTCTGACACCCCCCCCCCCCCGCGTGTGGACGTCATAAATGGATGACCCCTTGCTGATTGAGAGATGATGATTTATCATGTGAGAAATACTGGTTAAACTGTATCAAATCATCAAAATTTAATATTGCTGTATCTAACAGAACCTCACTTTAGCTCGCACAGAAAATATAACATTGCTGTAAATGAAAAAAAATGTCTCTAGTATGGTCCAAAGGAGAAATACTGATAGAATTTGATTTTGCTGAACTATGGTGGATTTTAGTTTTAATTCTAATGGCCTAGTTAAAAAAAAAAATAAAAACCTAGAAATAGAGAGGCTTAATGAAAACACATCAAAATGTAAAAACAGCGGGACACCATAACTATTAGATTAGATATTAGAATTATTTTTTTCAATTAGTAAGATAACTAGGCCTTATATTTGGTATGAGTAAAGTTAAAGCCTTAACGCACAAATATCCAAAATCTGCCGATTTTCTGAACACTATAGTATAGACTATAAATCTACTTACTAGTAATACTAGTTCACAAGTATACTAGCAGACTACAGAGGAAATCATTCTAACTAATCTTAATCTAACTCTAGTTACCTCATCTAACACTATTACTAGATCTAGAATAATCTAGATCTAGATCTACTACTGTACTCTAGTCTCTAGTCAAGTCTAGTCACTGTACTGTAGTTTTACTGTAGTCAGACTGTCGGTAGTCAGTCACAGTCTACTTCAGTCTAGTCTAGTCTAGTTAAAACGAAAATAAAAGCCTTTTAAGTTTTTTTTACGTTTTAGTAAGCTAACCTACTCAATTCAATTTAATATTAGATCTAGATCTGGATATATTTTAAAATTAAAATCTTTATTGTATCATTTCTTTGAAGTTTGAGAGAAGATACTCATTCTGACCATTTGTTTATTTATTAAAATTATTAAAAAAAAACTACAGCAGACAGAACTTCCCGTATTTTTGTGGGCGGGGTCCACAGCTGTTATTAAACTCTTCGTTGTATTATATCATAATATACTTACATTCACTAACACAATGTACCACACAGTATAATTTCAAATGGAAACTCCGACGATTTATTGAAAAGCTAGAAAAGCATTACTCAGTTACTATGTTGTAAATTTTTACAGGAGGCTGCCATGTTGAAGTTGTGACGATACCAACAAAGGGGAGATTAATCTGATTTGTTTTGATCGAGTGCGCTGAACTTATATCAAATTTTATAAAAATAAAAGATCTATTTAGACCTAGTATTTAGGTAGACCAACAGTCTATGTTATAACAAAATTTTAACGCCCTTTAGATCTAAATATATATCTTATATTTTAAAAATAGTATTTATGTAGATCTAATTAGTTATACGGATTTGTGTCATGATATTAGGCCTATGACTAAAATATTTCTAGACAACTATCTAGTTGAACTAGGCTACAACTAGTGGCGCTTTAGAGTTTATAGTTTAGAGGTATTCTCATTCTTTTTTATTTTTGACTAAGCACCCTCCACTCCACACAGCAGAAAAAAATATAGCAAACGTGTCAAAATGTGTTTTGAAATTATTTGTGTTCGAACTCAGCTTTTAGTATGCCAATATGCGATATCAAGGGGTCGTCCATAAATGACGTCACACTCGTAGGGTGGAGGGGGTCCGTAATTTTGTGACGGTGTATGATGAGGGGGAGGGGGAGGGGGGGCTCAGATGGTGCGACGTCACACTTTAGCATTATAAAAAAGCATTGTTAGAAAATGAATTTTAGACGTTATTTTGCGTTTAAGAAAACTGTTTTAATAAATTTAAATAGGAATTGATTAAAATACTATATTTTGGCAGTTCAGACAAGATTTTATAAAAGATTAAATAAATTTATTTCTAATTTTTATTTGTATTCTTTTTTTTTTGGGGGGGGGGGTCGGACTAAAATCTCAGGGGATGGGGGACGGACACTGTTAAAAGTTAATATTTTCTGTATAAATTCTATTTCGTTCGGGTGGCGGTAAGTGAGCTCCCCACCCCCCCCCCCCTCTCCACCCCAACCCTTTTCAAAGTGATACCTTTAAGAAACTCTACAAAGCAACAACATGTACTTAGTGTTGACCGATTAAAAAGTACAACTCCAACATTTTGAAACTATGTTCGAACCTCAACGTGTGATTAAACTATAATGGAGTCAAGTCAGTCGTTAAAATCAATGTTGGCCTCATCTACAGCTGATGCACACAAAAGTTAGTTGTAATCCAACCTACGCAACATCTTCATCTGATATACGACCTTACCCAACATCTTCATCTGATATACGACCTTACCCAACATCTTCATCTGATTTACGACGTTACCCAACATCTTCATCTGATATACGACCTTACCCAACATCTTCATCTGATTTACGACGTTACCCAACATCTTCATCTGATATACGACGTTACCCAACATCTTCATCTGATAACGACCATACGCTGTTTATGCTTCCCAGAGATATTGTTATTTGATGTCCACCCCCCCCCCCCCTTCCCCTTCCCCCATCTAACCGCCCAGCCTAGCACATAATAAATTATTCTAAAACCGCTAACTTCTACGAGGTTGTGTGAACAAACAGTATCAGTGGCGTCGCCTAGGTGGGCCGGGGTGCCCCCAGTAATATTTTTATATTCATAGCATAACACCACCCCTAACCTCGCTACGCTTATGACCTACAACACGCAAGTAAAAAATAAAAATATAGCCGGTACGTAATTAATTATTATGTGTAGGGCAGTTAATGACAGTTCTCTATGACTAACACACAGCTGTCCCTGTGCTGCACTACACAGTCCACAGCTTGTATGGTAATGTATGTGATCGTGTTTCGTTCTCGACCAGCCCCAACACAGACATACGTGTGCGGCGTCGTAGGAGACCTATGCAGACATACGTGTGCCGTGTCGTGTATGAGACGTATGCCCGGATCGTGACTCGTGTCAGTGGACTTGGAATTTAGTCACGCGTTTAACAGTCAGCTGATTGTTTAAACAATTCCCAATATTATGATTAGTGGCTCTTTCTTCTATTGCCTGAACTGACCAACACAGTATGTATATAATCGAGCGGAAGCCCATTAGTAGCGATACAGATCAATGTCAGTACATCTTGCTGCGAGACACGGGATTAAACTATTGTTAGAAAAATGTTATATTCGACTTGGTTAATTAACACCACTATTTTAGTTGTACACGCAGATAAACAAAACCTCTCTACACACAAAAAAAATAAACAGAAAAGAAAATAATAAACTGTTATCGTTGAGTAATAAAATAAGTTGACTAAGAAAAAGTTATGCAAAAAAAACAAAAAACAATGGCCAGTGTGGGGATCGAACCCACGACATTCGCGTTATTAGCACGACGCTCTAACCAACTGAGCTAACCGGCCTGTTGAACGAAAAATTCATATATGCTATATATTCATTTTCAAAATAATCAACAATATTTTTTTAAAAATAATTCCAGCTATTAATAATATAATCATGTTAAAATATCTATAATAAACAGAAATTAAAAGTCAATTGAAAGTACTGAATTATCTTTTATATATTATAGACTACGAACACTTTTCCATTATATAAAAACTGAATAAAAAGTAGGTTATTTGTAAGGGGCGCTACTCTTAAAAATGATATTGCTGTTTTCCGTCGGATTTACCTTTCTTTATTTTGATGGCTTGAAACCGCTCTCGAATTCCTATATCTGAGTATATCTAGATCTAGTTTCGAGTTTATTTTGATTGAATTAACACTTCTGATCATGTAACTAGTGATACTAATACTGTGTTTCTCTATACTATTTCTAGATCTATACGCTATTCAGATTTACAGTTTAGGCGACATGATAAGAATAATAAGATTCATCTAAAACTAGAGTTTACTAGACCACTTTTTGAACGTAAAATAAATAAATTGATTAATTGAATAATTCCTGATCCAAAATATAAAAATTAGAGCATTTATTTTTTGTATGTGATACTATATGAGTGTAGGTCTAGTTACCAGAGTTTCTTCCAGGCATCTCTTCGCCCCCCCCCCCCCCCCCCCCGAAAAAAGTCAACCGCCCCAGAAAATTTCAAGTGCCCCCACGGAGAAAAAAGTCTGGAATAAACACTGCTAGTTACTAGAATCTATAGATCTAGTTAGTAAGATCTAGATCTATAAGATCTAGATTATAGAATAACCTAGATTTAAACCTATGTATATTTACGTATATTCTCTAGATTCTCGCAAACTAGGCCTCTATTTCAGTAAAATTTGTAATTTGATTCATTTTTACTAATTTATTACTATTAGTAATTTAGGAAAATCTACTCGTCCATTAGCCATTACCATTGTTATGTCATTGTATTATTAGATGATTAGACTAGGACAGGGGTCGGCAACCTTCGGCTCGCGAGCCGCATGCGGCTCTTTTGATGTCAGGATGCGGCTCGCCAGTTTCATAATATTGTGCGAAACATGTGTGTTTTTATATGAATATAATTATTATTTCTTACTTAAACCAATTTATTTTAAATGTATATAGTCTACCTAATTGTAATCAAGTACCATAATATTAAAAAAATATAATTCTAAGTGGATCTTTAAAAGCTGGGAGATTTTGTAAATTGTAACTTTTGGCTCTCCCGCCTCAAAAGGTTGCCGACCCCTTGACTAGGACGTCACTATGAGTATTTATATGAATCTATGGTTTTCTCTGCGAATTTCATCATGTCGTTTCCGAAAGAGCTGCTGAGACCATCACGTTTTGTCCATCTTGTGTACAACTCCTTTTGTAGTTAGAATCTAGATCTAGTTGTTGTTATAAACTACGTCTCTTCTTCGTCGCTTAGGCTGGGCCATAGCATTAGCAGCTGACATTTAAGCAATCCTTTACTTTCATACAAGTAGAGGAAAGATGTATTGGTAGATGGTGGGTTGTTAGTGGTTGGATATTCAGTTATAACGCAAACATTTAATTCCATGTCTTTTTCTTTCCTTTTGTCATTCATCCATTTTTCAGATGTTTTATTAATACGCCCCAAAATAAAGGCTAAGAATACGTGTAGATTACTCTATCTTCTTTTTTTTTCTTCTTCTTCTTTATTGTGTAGTCATAATTTCAGGCATTTCTTACCCCGGGGAAGGGGGGGGGGGGGCTAACTCCTCAGACGAGAAAAAAAAGTATAAAATATATATTCTTTAACCAGCGTCCACCCCCTCCCACCCCTAGCAGTTTCAAGTGCACCCACCCCATTGAAATATGTCTGACATAAAACTTCTACAGAACAGAAGAAACGAGCAAATGCTCGACGTGTTTGAGACAATTTTATTCCCAAAAATACGACCCAAAACATTGGTTATCGACAAAATGGTCTTTAAAATATTGTCGGTGTTCAGTGATGTGTCGGCTTAATGTCAGAGTGTGTGATGTAATGTCTACAGGGATGAACTTACTCCTACACACCATATTAATATTCTTATGTGACCTTCCACCCTGTGTAGCCGTCTATCCTGTGTGGCCGTCCACCCTTTGTGGCCGTCCATCCTGTGCGGCCGTCTACCCTGTGCTGCCGTCCATTCTGTGCGGCCGTCCACCCGGTGTGGCCGTCCATCCTTTGTGGGCGTCCATCCTGTGTGGCCGTCTATCCTGTGCCGCCGTCCATTCTGTGCGGCCGTCCACCCGGTGTGGTACATAGCCCTAATATTCTCATGTGACCGTCCATCCTGTGTGGGCGTCCATCCTGTGCGGCCGTCTATCCTGTGTCGCCGTCCATTCTGTGCGGCCGTCCACCCGGTGTGGTACATAGCCCTAATATTCTCATGTGACCGTCCATCCTGTGTCGCCGTCCATTCTGTGCGGCCGTCCACCCGGTGTGGCCGTCCATCCTGTGTGGCCGTCTATCCTGTGCGGCCGTTCACACGGTGTGGTACATAGCCCTAATATTCTCATGTGACCGTCCATCCTGTGTGGCTGTCCATCCTGTGTGGCCGTCTGTCCTGTGCCGCCGTCCATTCTGTGCGGCCGTCCACCCGGTGTGGCCGTCCATCCTGTGTGGGCGTCCATCCTGTGTGGCCGTCTATCCTGTGCGGCCGTCCACACGGTGTGGTACATAGCCCTAATATTCTCATGTGACCGTCCATCCTGTGCGGCCGTCCACCCGGTGTGGTGCATAGCCCTAATATTCCTATGTGACCGTCCATCCTGTGTGGCCGTCCATCCTGTGCCACCGTCCATCCTGTGCGGCCGTCCACCCGGTGTGGTACGTAGCCCTAATATTCCTATGTGACCGTCCATCCTGTGTGGCCGTCCATCCTGTGTGGCCGTCCACCCTGTACATGTGTGTTAGCTACTGTAATCAAAAGAGCCACACCAGTTTCTCCCGAAGTACTCACGCCACCGGTCAGACATTTGAATCTCAGCCCCCCCCCCCCCTCCCCCCAAATTAATTTCGCCACGATCCCCCATATAAGCTTTATCCGTCCCTGGAGGGGCAGGGATGGGGTTTTAATCATGACTACAAAAACTTTGTACGCCGTATGTAAATTAGAACGTGGCTATAGGTCTACAAGGACAGTCATTCTTTTTTATGAAGACCCCCCCCCCCCCTACATTGAGGACACTAATTATAGCTCTGCAATAGTTTCAGGTGGTATTTAAATATTCTGACTCATCCACCCCCTGAAATTAAACAACTTAATGATTTATATCATTTATAAGTGAATATTAATGTATCTTTACAGATTAGGCAATGGTTTGGTTAATAATAGGTGTGCTCTAAACTAGCGTGTGTTCTACAGGCCAACTGGTGTGTTGAATGCCATCTGGTGTGTTGAAGGCTAACTGGTGTGTTGAAGGCTAACTGGTGTGTTGAAGGCTAACTGGTGTGTTGAAGGCTAACTGGTGTGTTGAAGGCTAACTGGTGTGTTGAAGGCTAACTGGTGTGTTGAAGGCTAACTGGTGTGCTGAAGGCTAACTGGTGTGTTGAAGGCTAACTGATGTGTTGAAGGCTAACTGGTGTGTTGAAGGTCAACTGTTGTGTTGAAGGCTAACTGGTGTGCTGAAGGCCAACTGGTGTGTTGAAGGCTAACTGGTGTGTTGAAGGCTAACTGGTGTTTTGAAGGTCAACTGGTGTGTTGAAGGTCAACTGGTGTGTTGAAGGTCAACTGGTGTGTTGAAGGCTAACTGGTGTGTTGAAGGCCAACTGGTGTGTTGAAGGCTAACTGGTGTGCTACAGGCCAAGTGGTGTGTTGAAGGCCAACTGGTGTGTTGAAGGCTAACTGGTGTGCTACAGGCCAAGTGGTGTGTTGAAGGTCAACTGGTGTGTTGAAGGCTGACGTGTGTACTACAGCCGTGTTGCAGTCATGTCCAACAGTACCATCCAGTGGCCAATAAAGCAGATGATTCAGAATGGCAATGACAGGTACAACCCTTCTCTTCTATAGCTCAACTTGCTTTGTATAACTTTCAAACACCCAGCCAAAGACAGCATCGGCTACACATTGTTTCCAGCGTAGTGGTGGAAACATCTGAAACACTTAAGGCACTACAGCAGCACAGTTTTGGGGTGTAGCCTGGCTCCCTCCGGCCGACTCACCACGGACAACTCTACACACACCCCCCATAGCCCCCCTTACCAAACAAAATGGCTATAGCGACCATCCTCGTGAAGTACCCCCCCCCGGTACCTTAATATAGAGCCCTGTCTGTACAACAGCCTGTGTTTTGGTAGAGCCCTGCCTGTCCTGTAAAACAGCCCATGTTTTGATAGAGCCCTACCTGTCCTGTACAACAGCCCATGTTTTGGTAGAGCCCTGCCTGTACAACAGCCCGTGTTTTGGTAGAGCCCTGCCTGTCCTGTACAACAGCCCATGTTTTGGTAGAGCCCTGCCTGTCCTGTACAACAGCCCGTGTTTTGGTAGAGCCCTGCCTGTACAACAGCCCATGTTTTGGTAGAGCCCTGCCTGTCCTGTACAACAGCCCATGTTTTGGTAGAGCCCTGCCTGTACAACAGCCCGTGTTTTGGTAGAGCCCTGCCTGTACAACAGCCCATGTTTTGGTAGAGCCCTGCCTGTCCTGTACAACAGCCCATGTTTTGGTAGAGCCCTGCCTGTACAACAGCCCATGTTTTGGTAGAGCCCTGCCTGTACAACAGCCCATGTTTTGGTAGAGCCCTACCTGTCCTGTACAACAGCCCATGTTTTGGTAGAGCCCTGCCTGTACAACAGCCCATGTTTTGGTAGAGCCCTACCTGTCCTGTACAACAGCCCGTGTTTTGGTAGAGCCCTGCCTGTACAACAGCCCGTGTTTTGGTAGAGCCCTGCCTGTACAACAGCCCATGTTTTGGTAGAGCCCTGCCTGTACAACAGCCCATGTTTTGTTAGAGCCCTGTCTGTCCTGTACAACAGCCCATGTTTTGGTAGAGCCCTGCCTGTCCTGTACAACAGCCCATGTTTTGGTAGAGCCCTGCCTGTCCTGTACAACAGCCCATGTTTTGGTAGAGCCCTGCCTGTCCTGTACAACAGCCCATGTTTTGGTAGAGCCCTGCCTGTACAACAGCCCATGTTTTGGTAGAGCCCTGCCTGTCCTGTACAACAGCCCATGTTTTGGTAGAGCCCTGCCTGTCCTGTACAACAGCCCATGTTTTGGTAGAGCCCTGCCTGTACAACAGCCCATGTTTTGGTAGAGCCTTGCCTGTACAACAGCCCATGTTTTGGTAGAGCCCTGCCTGTACAACAGCCCGTGTTTTGGTAGAGCCCTGCCTGTACAACAGCCCATGTTTTGGTAGAGCCTTGCCTGTACAACAGCCCATGTTTTGGTAGAGCCCTGCCTGTCCTGTACAACAGCCCATGTTTTGGTAGAGCCCTGCCTGTACAACAGCCCATGTTTTGGTAGAGCCCTGCCTGTACAACAGCCCGTGTTTTGGTAGAGCCCTGCCTGTACAACAGCCCGTGTTTTGGTAGAGCCCTGCCTGTACAACAGCCCATGTTTTGGTAGAGCCTTGCCTGTACAACAGCCCGTGTTTTGGTAGAGCCCTGCCTGTCCTGTACAACAGCCCGTGTTTTGGTAGAGCCCTGCCTGTACAACAGCCCATGTTTTGGTAGAGCCCTGCCTGTACAACAGCCCATGTTTTGGTAGAGCCCTGCCTGTCCTGTACAACAGCCCATGTTTTGGTAGAGCCCTGCCTGTACAACAGCCCATGTTTTGGTAGAGCCCTGCCTGTACAACAGCCCGTGTTTTGGTAGAGCCCTGCCTGTCCTGTACAACAGCCCGTGTTTTGGTAGAGCCCTGCCTGTACAACAGCCCATGTTTTGGTAGAGCCCTGCCTGTCCTGTACAACAGCCCATGTTTTGGTAGAGCCCTGCCTGTACAACAGCCCATGTTTTGGTAGAGCCCTGCCTGTACAACAGCCCATGTTTTGGTAGAGCCCTGCCTGTACAACAGCCCATGTTTTGGTAGAGCCCTGCCTGTACAACAGCCCGTGTTTTGGTAGAGCCCTGCCTGTACAACAGCCCATGTTTTGGTAGAGCCCTGCCTGTACAACAGCCCGTGTTTTGGTAGAGCCCTGCCTGTACAACAGCCCATGTTTTGGTAGAGCCCTGCCTGTCCTGTACAACAGCCCATGTTTTGGTAGAGCCCTGCCTGTCCTGTACAACAGCCCATGTTTTGGTAGAGCCCTGCCTGTACAACAGCCCATGTTTTGGTAGAGCCCTGCCTGTCCTGTACAACAGCCCATGTTTTGGTAGAGCCCTGCCTGTACAACAGCCCATGTTTTGGTAGAGCCCTGCCTGTACAACAGCCCATGTTTTGGTAGAGCCCTGCCTGTCCTGTACAACAGCCCATGTTTTGGTAGAGCCCTGCCTGTACAACAGCCCATGTTTTGGTAGAGCCCTGCCTGTACAACAGCCCATGTTTTGGTAGAGCCCTGCCTGTACAACAGCCCATGTTTTGGTAGAGCCCTGCCTGTACAACAGCCCATGTTTTGGTAGAGCCCTGCCTGTCCTGTACAACAGCCCATGTTTTGGTAGAGCCCTGCCTGTCCTGTACAACAGCCCATGTTTTGGTAGATCCCTGCCTCTCCTGTACAACAGCCCATGTTTTGGTAGAGCCCTGCCTGTACAACAGCCCATGTTTTGGTATCCCCCACAGGAGCAACGCCCTGCGGATCATCCACCTGAACTTCCCCACCAAGTCTCTCCGCTCCTCCATCCTTCTGTTACTGGTGCTGGCCGCACTCGTCATCTATCACGTGCTCATGCACGTCTTTAAGTAAGTGCTTGTTTTATGTACGTCTTTAAGTAAGCACTTGTTTTATGTACGTCTTTAAGTAAGTGCTTGTTTTATGTACGTCTTTAAGTAAGTGCTTGTCTCGTGCACGTCTTTAAGTAAGTGCTTGTATTATGTACGTCTGTAAGTGCTTGTATTATGTACGTCTGTAAGTAAATGCTTGTATTATGTACGTCTGTAAGTCATGATATTGTCCATGCATGTTTTCGCGTGAGACGACGTTAGATGGGGTCAGCGTTAAGCCAGGTGCGGTGGATTGATGCCTCTATTAAACGTCACCTCACGTTGTAGACCCCAGATAACGTCGCCTCACGCTGTAGATCCCACATAACGTCGCCTCACGCTGTAGATCCCACATAACGTCGCCTCACGCTGTAAACTCCACATAACGTCGCCTCACGCTGTAAACTCCACATAACGTCGCCTCCACATAACGTCGCCTCACGCTGTAGATCCCACATAACGTCGCCTCACGCTGTAAACTCCACATAACGTCGCCTCACGCTGTAAACTCCACATAACGTCGCCTCCACATAACGTCGCCTCACCCTGTAAACCCCACATAACGTCGCCTCACGCTGTAAACTCCACATAACGTCGCCTCACGCTGTAAACTCCACATAACGTCGCCTCCACATAACGTCGCCTCACGCTGTAAAGCCCACATAACGTCGCCTCCACATAACGTCGCCTCACGCTGTAGACCCTACATAACGTCGCCTCACGCTGTAAACCCCACATAACGTCGCCGCCACATAACGTCACCTCACGCTGTAGACCCCACATAACGTCGCCTCCACATAACGTCGCCTCACGCTGTAGACCCCACATAACGTCGCCTCACGCTGTAAAGCCCACATAACGTCGCCTCCACATAACGTCGCCTCACGCTGTAGACCCTACATAACGTCGCCTCACGCTGTAAACTCCACATAACGTCACCCCCACATAACGTCGTCTCACCCTGTAAACCCCATATAACGTCGCCTCACGCTGTAAACCCCACATAACGTCGCCTCCACATAACGTCGCCTCACGCCGCAAAGTTCCGCCTGCTAACAATCATTACCTCATGGGGTATTGATTTCCAGCCCATAGTTGGTCGCCTTATCGATTTAACCATCCGCGCGAATTAATTCTCTTTGGCTTAGTAATCATTTCAGTATTTGAAAAAAAAATAGGTATTAGAAGAAAATAATTAAAACCTAATCAAGGCGGATTGACTTTTGTCTGTTTTGACAAGACATCATCCGTTGGAAACCAGTCCTCGACTATCTAGACTAGCGCTCTTCTTAACCTGAACTTCTCAACTATGTTAGGATCAATGCTAAATACATTTTACCTTGGTGGTCAAATGTGTTAACGCTCTGAAGAAGAGTTTTATTCTGTAGATGTTTATATTGTGCGGAAATGTTTACATTGTGGGGGAAAATATCTTTTAGAAAAATCTATCTTGTAGGGGGTGGGGGGAATATGTTTTTCTTGTGAGAATTTTTTTAATGTTGTGAAAGAAATGTTTATCTTGTGAAAGAAATGTTAAAGTCTGGAAATAAAATGTTAATCTTTTAGATACACTTGTGTTTAGTCAGGTGGCGTTTAACCGGGGACAAACTTTCAATTTGCACCCCCCCCCCTCAAACTTTTGATTTGCACCCCCCCCCCCCCTCAAACTTTCAAATTGTTTTTCCAACCCATTTTGGCGCCCCCTAAGGTCGGCGCCCGGGGACATATGCCGCCTGTACGTTTAACAAATGACATCAGTTTTTATTTTTTTACAAAAAAAAAAACATTTTTTTTTTAAAAAAAAAACGACATTTATTAAATGTAGAAATTTAATCCTATGTCGACTTATTATGAGCTGCAATTGACCCAATGACGCCGTTTGTTTTTTAGACTGATCATGGAGGTGCGGAGAATGGCCCTGGAGCTGAGCCAACCCTTGAGCCAGAGCCGCTCCGTCAAGAACTTGGAGGCCCAGCACGGCACGTCTTCCCCAGAGTACTCCGGTGAATACAAGAACTCGGACCAGCCGAGTCAAACGGCCATTGGCTAATCTGGTCATGTGACCGGCGTGTGTGGGATAGCTAAGTCACGTGGTCAGCACAGTCCAGCAGCTATTGGCCAGCCAAGTCAGGTGACCAGCACAGTCCAGCAGCCATTTGTTATGACCCCAGTCATCCAGAAAGCAGACATACAATCCACCCCTGTATTTCCCTGATGTGACGTGGAGAGAGCGATGATGAAGATACCCAGCCCCAACCTAACCTGCCTTCCCCCCCCCCCCCCACCTGACGCGACCCCACCCTCCGTCCATCGTTACAATCTTGTGTGGCCTTGTTTTGTGCTAGTCTAGGGAGAGGAATCTGCACATCATGTGTCCGTAAGTGCGTTGGTCCCCCCCCCTCCTGACGTCTGTTTTAGCCTGCTGCTGGCTGCTGTCAGACACGTACTTACCCATGCATATCTACATACACACACATAACAATGACTGCATCAATTGTGTTGATTAACTAATTAAATTTGTTGGTTTTCTTTTTTCTTGTTTTTTTTTTTTTACTCAAACTGTTTTTTAAAATTGCACTAGATCTAGCACTTATCGGTAGTGATGATACTTGTGTTTTATTAAAATTTAATCAAATATTTTAACTGATAAAATGATTGTTCTTGTGTTTTTTGTTGGTTTTTTATTATTGTATTTTTAAGTTGATGTCTAAAACAGTTGTCATCTTAGTTAATTTTTTAAATTTATGCCCAGAGAATCGTAGCGTCACATGGCGTGGTGGGGTGCCGACTGTACCGGGTGACTGGAAACAAAGTCTAGCTAATTTTAATTTGACGAGAAACTCGGATCTTGCCCAGTTAAATATCAAAATTACACGAGCCTACGTCTTTTGTATTTCTTTCAGACTTTTTTTCTCCGGGAGGGGGGGGGGGGGGGCGGTCATTTTCTATATGATTCCAACATCCTTTCACTTTCTGTATAAATTCCAGTGTACGCGTAGGGTGTGGATAACGAGATAATTAGTACAGCTAAGGGAGCGTCCATAACCGGCGTTACACTCTGTGAAAACGATTGTTTTACCAACAATTTAAACAGGTAGAAAGAACATACCTAAAACAGGCAATGATAGCATACCTGCAACAAGAACATAAAACAGGCAATAATGGCATACCTGCAACAAGAACATAAAACAGGCAATAAGAACATACCTGCAACAAGAACATAAAACAGGCAATAAGAACATACCTGCAACAAGAACATAAAACAGGCAATAAGAACATACCTGCAACAAGAACATAAAACAGGCAATAAGAACATACCTAAAACAGGCAATAAGAGACAAACCAAAAAAAACGCCCAGTTCATAAAGGCTACAGAACTAATGTATTGGTTTGTGAGACCACGTGACCCAGAGTTCTGGCACCCGAGTTGTTCCAGTCTATTATCTGTTCCATCCAACCGTACGCCCAGGTAATGAGGGGGGGGGGGGTACAAAATCTCTGTTGCTTTTACTCTGCTCACCAAAGGGGGGAGGGTACCAAATCTCTGTTGCTTTTACTCTTCTCACCAAATGGGGGGGGGGGGGGTGATGCTATCCTAGTCAAATCGCTGTTACATTTATCCAGTGCACACAAAAAGGGCTGTTTCTTTCATCGTGCGGACCAAATTCCCAGCTATTAAGGCGAGCTGTGTGGCACTTGATTAAAGGCTGGGATTAGAAGCCGGAGGTCGCTAGGGCGCGGATATGGGGGGGGGGGGCAATGAGGTTGGTCACTTGGGTTGTGTATGACGGACATGACAAAAGGGAAATAAAAAATCTATAAGCTGTGGGGGAGGGATCTTTTATGTAGAGAGGCGGGGGTTCTCATTTGATTATGTAGGCTAGAGGCAAGGGCGTCACTGTTTTGATTCCAACGAAGAACATCTGACAGAAATGAATTTACGAAGCATGAAATAATTCGCAGGATGATCCGGGGGGGGGGGGGGGGGGGGGTTCTCTATGCCTGACCTGCTCGAGGCTGATCTGTAGTCAGGTCCCATCGATAAAGCCGATTAGACCCGCGCCCTATAATCAATCAACCTGTTTAGTGGGCGGTATCCTGCCGTCATGCGTGATTGTTAGTCACGTGACTTGGATCAACCAGTTTAAAAAACCGGGGGTGGGGGGGGGGGGGGTATAATTAGCCTCACGATTTCATATCCCAGGTATGTGTACAATATGTGTTCATTCAAGTTTGTTTAAAATTAGTAAACACGTTTTTTTTTTTTTTTTTTGCTCAGCATTGCATCTAGATCTAATGTTTCAGATTAAAATTTCTGTTACACAAAGATTGAGTGATATATATATATATATATATATATATATATATATATAATATATATATAATATATATATATATATATATATATATATATATATATATATATATATATATATAGGCTTATTTATTTGTTTTTATTATGTATTGTGGCATACATATTATGACGGATAATTGCAAAAAGTTCAAGTACTAATGACACCGGCGTGTATGGCGGAGACTGTAAATGCAAGCCACCAATGTACCATTATATCGATATGGTACTGTGGTAGTGTTTGTTCAGCTCCATTCCCCGCGGCCTTGAACTCGCCCTCTTGACGTCATCAGCTCGTGGGGTGTAGCGTTCTCAAGGGGTTTGTACTTTTGTGAGTCAAGGTCAACCGTGTGGCCGGGGATCGAACTCGGGACCCTCTCGTGAACAATGGGAATGGTACTTTGCCGACCTCTGTGCTGGGGTGGGGATGGTGAAGGACACTCAAGTCTCATGGCCCGGTACATTCAATGTATGGCACACACAGCATCGGCGGAAGGTGCGTTTTTTATGTGTGCTTTTCAATGCAGGCTTGCTAAATTATTTCATAATTTCTCATCTGTTACGCGTGGAAGTGGAAGATTTGTACGTCATCGTGTGTTATTACAAATACCTTTAAATTACGTGTGCTAATAGACCAAATTTAAATTACCTCCAATTTAAAGT